GGGGGGGGGGGGGGGGGGGGGCCACCAGTAGGGGTTTATTAGCGTGTCACAAGAGCTAGTTGGAGGGGTAGGGGGGACGGACATAAATGACGTCACATGTCTGAGGAAAGAAATGAAAAGGGTAGTGGGGGGGGGGGGGGCTCTTGGTGGTCACGAATTTCTGACAGTGTGAGATGAAGGTATAGATATATTTTTTATTAACGTTCTTTGACCATTTGTGTAAGGGTACGGTAAAAACAAAGTCTTCAACATATAGTGTGACGACATTATGTTTGGGAGAGGTGGGCCCTGAGCCAAAACAGTTGAGATCATTTTTAACAAAGGTTTAAGAACTTTGTGTTGTACAGACTCTAATAGCAACAGCCCTAGCCATAGTGTTGTACCGACTCCAATAGCCACGGCTCTAGCCATAGTCTTGTACCGACTGTAATAGCCACAGCTCTAGCCATAGTGTTGTACCGACTCCAATAGCCACAGCCCTAGCCATAGTGTTGTACCGACTCTTATAGCCAAAGCCCTAGCCAGAGTGTTGTACCGACTCTAATAGCCACAGCCCTAGCCATAGTGTTGTACCGACTCTAATAGCCACAGCCCTGGCCATAGTGTTGTACCGACTCTAATAGCCACGGCCCTAGCCATAGTGTTGTACCGACTCTTATAGCCAAAGCCCTAGCCAGAGTGTTGTACCGACTTTAATAGCCACAGCTCTAGTCATAGTGCTGTACCGACTCCATAGCCACAGCTCTAGTCATAGTGTTGTACCGACTGTAATAGCCACAGCTCTAGCCATAGTGTTGTACCGACTGTAATTACCACAGCTCTAGCCATAGTGTTGTACCGACTCCAATAGCCACAGCTCTAGCCATAGTGTTGTATCGACTGTAATAGCCACAGCTCTAGTCATAGTGGTGTACCGACTGTAATAGCCACAGCTCTAGCCATAGTGTTGTACCGACTCTAACTGGTACAATCCTAGCCATAGTTCTGTACCGATACTAACTGGCACAATCCTAGCCATAGTGCTGTACGGACTCTTATAGCCACAATACTAGCCATAGTGCTGTACCGACTCAAATAGCAACAAGCCTAGCCATAGTGCTGTACCAAAAATAACCTACAGCTCTAGGCCCATAGACGGTGGAGTGGCAAGAGAGAGTGGGGGGATGACAAGTGTCCGCAAGGTCATCTCGAGGTCAAATCGCTTTGGTCAAGTGGTCTCAATGGACATCCACCGCCCCACTCTGTGGGCTCAGTGGTGTAGACGTCAAATTGGTTTACATTTTTGCAGTGGCGTAGCTAGGGTTAGTGGCACCCGGGGGCAGCTAAGATTTTTGTTTCTCCCTTCCACGGAAAAAAAACCCTCAGAATTTGTTCGAAAATGCCATCCCTCCATACAAAGAAAAGAAATTGCCGCACGCTACCTCCACAATTGCTTGTGTGTATAGCTGTTTCTAGATCCGAGATGTTTCGTTGCATTCCTCTTGTCAGATTTAACCTTACTTTGTTTCACTCATTTCCTGTTTCTACTATCACTTCTCTTAATGTACTTTGTTGTTTTATAGAACGGCTGCTGCTTCAACAAGCCCCACGCTATGTTTGCAGATGTCAGGTGTATGAGAGAAAATTAGGTCTTTAACGCACTTCAACGAGATGTCCGTCTGTCTCGGCGATGATAATATGGCAGAGCTCCTCATTGAAGGAGAGATACGTGAAATAAGAGGTATGTCATGCCGGCGATAATATGGCAGAGCTCCTCATTGAAGGAGAGATACGTGAAATAAGAGGTATGTCATGGCGATGATAATATGGCAGAGCTCCTCATTGAAGGAGAGATACGTGAAATAAGAGGTATGTCATGCCGGTGATAATATGGCAGGGCTCCTCAGTGAAGGAGAGATACGTGAAATAAGAGGTATGTCATGGCGATGATAATATGGCAGAGCTCCTCATTGAAGGAGAGATACGTGAAATAAGAGGTATGTCATGGCGGTGATAATATGGCAGAGCTCCTCATTGAAGGAGAGATACGTGAAATAAGAGGTATGTCATGGCGATGATAATATGGCAGAGCTCCTCATTGAAGGAGAGATACGTGAAATAAGAGGTATGTCATGGCGATGATAATATGGCAGAGCTCCTCATTGAAGGAGAGATACGTGAAATAAGAGGTATGTCATGGCGATGATAATATGGCAGAGCTCCTCGTTGAAGGAGAGATACGTGAAATAAGAGGTTTGTCATGCCGGTGATAATATGGCAGAGCTCCTCATTGAAGGAGAGATACGTGAAATAAGAGGTATGTCATGGCGGTGATAATATGACAGAGCTCCTCATTGAAGGAGAGATACGTGAAATAAGAGGTATGTCATGCCGGCGATAATATGGCAGAGCTCCTCATTGAAGGAGAGATACGTGAAATAAGAGGTATGTCATGGCGGTGATAATATGGTAGAGCTCCTCATTGAAGGAGAGATACGTGAAATAAGAGGTATGTCATGCCGGTGATAATATGGCAGAGCTCCTCATTGAAGGAGAGATACGTGAAATAAGAGGTATGTCATGGCGATGATAATATGGCAGAGCTCCTCATTGAAGGAGAGATACGTGAAATAAGAGGTATGTCATGGCGGTGATAATATGGCAGAGCTCCTCATTGAAGGAGAGATACGTGAAATAAGAGGTATGTCATGGCGATGATAATATGGCAGAGCTCCTCATTGAAGGAGAGATACGTGAAATAAGAGGTATGTCATGGCGATGATAATATGGCAGAGCTCCTCATTGAAGGAGAGATACGTGAAATAAGAGGTATGTCATGGCGATGATAATATGGCAGAGCTCCTCATTGAAGGAGAGATACGTGAAATAAGAGGTATGTCATGGCGATGATAATATGGCAGAGCTCCTCATTGAAGGAGAGATACGTGAAATAAGAGGTATGTCATGGCGATGATAATATGGCAGAGCTCCTCATTGAAGGAGAGATACGTGAAATAAGAGGTATGTCATGGCGATGATAATATGGCAGAGCTCCTCATTGAAGGAGAGATACGTGAAATAAGAGGTATGTCATGGCGATGATAATATGGCAGAGCTCCTCATTGAAGGAGAGATACGTGAAATAAGAGGTATGTCATGGCGATGATAATATGGCAGAGCTCCTCATTGAAGGAGAGATACGTGAAATAAGAGGTATGTCATGGCGATGATAATATGGCAGAGCTCCTCATTGAAGGAGAGATACGTGAAATAAGAGGTATGTCATGGCGATGATAATATGGCAGAGCTCCTCATTGAAGGAGAGATACGTGAAATAAGAGGTATGTCATGGCGATGATAATATGGCAGAGCTCCTCATTGAAGGAGAGATACGTGAAATAAGAGGTATGTCATGGCGATGATAATATGGCAGAGCTCCTCATTGAAGGAGAGATACGTGAAATAAGAGGTATGTCATGGCGATGATAATATGGCAGAGCTCCTCATTGAAGGAGAGATACGTGAAATAAGAGGTATGTCATGCCGGTGATAATATGGCAGAGCTCCTCATTGAAGGAGAGATACGTGAAATAAGAGGTATGTCATGCCGATGATATGGCAGAGCGCCTCATTGAAGAGAGATACGTGAAATAAGAGGTATGTCATGGCGATGATAATATGGCAGAGCTCCTCATTGAAGGAGAGATACGTGAAATAAGAGGTATGTCATGCCGATGATAATATGACAGAGCTCCTCTTGAAATAGAGATACGTGAAATAAGAGGTATGTCATGCCGGTGATAATATGACAGAGATGCTCATTACAATAAGCTATAATGTTAAAATTGATTTGTATTTAATAATTAGCAATTAATTTTACAAGCGTCAAGTTAGTAATATATCTATGCAACAATTCGATGAAAATGGACAATGAAATTTCTCTCGAATTCTTATGATCTACGGATATTAATATCTCAAACACAACATTCTGATTTACGCTAGTAAACTGGGCCTAGCACCGATGACTTATCCTTGACTACCCTACAATCGCTTTACCTCATCACACCCATGGGCGTGTGGCAATCTAAACAAAGTGTCAAGAAATGAACGATTGCATGCATTGTAAACATTTGAGTTTCTATAGCAACGATATCTCTTTCAAATTAATTTTTTTTTTTAAAGTTTATCTTAAAATGCCGCCTTGAAAACAAGATGGGCTGAAAACGTGTAGGTCATTTTACAGCAAAGTTAAATGACCGAATTGCTTTAAATGGCGGACAGGAAGTTACGTTATTGCTAAGTTGTCTTCTGCAATAGTAAATATTTTGTAAGGTAAATGTGAATCTTGGGCAGACGCAGGATTCATTGGTTAATTTGTCTGCGCGTGTGTGTGTGTGTGCGTGTGTGTGTGTGTGTGCGTGAAGAAGCACTCAAACAACAACAAAATACAGATGACCTTGAGATTGAGGGGAGAGAGAGAGAGAACGTCTCAAGCGGTCACGTTCGCCTCCCGTGTTTTCAAGATCAGCATCCGGTGCGAGGCTGGCGCGAGACGTTATTAAGAAACCTAGTAGTTAATAACCCGTGGGATGACGGCCATGTTCTCGGGGGGGTCTGACACACCACCACTGGCCAGAAAATGTTGTCAAAAGAACAGCTGTCGGCGGCTCTGCTGCTGGCGCTTTCCAGCAACGCCGTGCTGCTGTTGGTGGTTTTGTTCAGGTCCGCGGACGTGCACAGAGAAGCTCACGGTGCAGGAAAACGTCTGTGCACATCGACCGGCCCGAGACGAGAGCTCGCCGCCAAACTGCAGCAGCCTGGAGTTCTGGACAGAGACGCGTTGCTGCTTCGGGATTTCGTTCTGACAGTGGATCGGTTTAACGACATTGAACAACATGTCCAGCCCAGGACGGCTGCGGGCTTCCGTCTCGCCTCGCCGGCGTTTCAGCATGTCTTGTTGTCGTTATTAAAGTACAAGCTGTCCAAGCTGGGCACGTCACGGAGGCCGAAAATTTATAACCCCGTCCTGGATAAACTGTTTGTGGATGACAGTCCAGCCAAAGGTCACGAACCCACACGTGGTGAGGACTCGACCGAAGTTACGGACGGACGTTCTGCAACCAGTTCATTCGTTGACCAAAATGGACACGGGGTGAATTATTCACATCGAGCCGACGGCAGTTGGACGGGAGAACTCCACGTTACACGTTCTGACGGCCGGACAAATCCGGCGCTGGTCGCAGCCGAGAGCGCATCGGCCCCATCAAGAAGAGAAGTGACGTTTCAACTTTTCTCCGGTCAAAACCAAACCGACTCGGATGACCAGCGAAATTCGTTTGCGAACATTTCCAGGTCGAAGAGAGGCGCCGGAAGTGAACCGGTCAATGGTGGCGTTCCGGAGCAGGGACAGAATCGCATCAATGAAATCTTCTCGACTTTCACACAGGTTGAGATGGCCGAGTTTCCCGCCCCAGTTTCTCGGGTCCTGATTCCTGCACTGGTACAGTTTGAAGGGATGCTCATAAAGTAAGGCTTTCCTTAACCGTTACGAAACTAGTTGAACAGATAACGTTGTTTTTTTTTTTTTACAAGTAATTGTTAATGAAAACAGGCTTCCTCGTAAATTATTGAGTCACTGAAGCCATCTGCAGTCAACTTAAACCCGTGCCTCTAAAATCAATGGCCGTTACGCATGCATTTTCTTAAGTATACGTCCATGCCTGCAATCTTGCGGACATACCAGCGCTATCATTATCGACACCATGGTCGCTTATTCCAGACAGTGTCTACCAGCCATGCATGTGTGTCATTATCATCATGACTGAATGTATACACCACACAGCATGTGGAATGAGCGTGCAGGGGGGTGGGGGGGGGCAGCCGTCCCGGGCGCCATCTTCTTGGAGCGAAAAAAAAAGAATATTTTTTTCCAATCCAATTTAATGCAAAATACTTTCTTAAGAATAAGAGGTTGCCTGAATTCAAGGTTTTCCGCGACCCTCACAGGGGAGTACTGTTTTCACTTTTCTAGGCTTTCAGATTTGATTTAGAATTGATTTTGTGAGCGAAGCAGAACTTAAAACAAAAATATTATAAAATAGTTGAACAAAAGAAATGATCACACATAAAGTTTGCTCTATTTCAAATTGTCATTGCGCCAGAGTGGGTCGCCTTTTATACGTTTAATGAGATGTTTCTTCAAATCTCTTCTCCTTTACACCCTTAACATACTAAGCCTGTTTACCGTGTTACGATAATTTAAGATCACATCCCAAGCTTCCGACTGCTTGGTCCTTTACCTTTACACATACACACACACACACACGCATACACGCTCACACACAAACACACACACACACACATAGACACACACACACACACACAAACTCGCACAGAGACGCACACACAAATCAACACATTTTTACTTGTTGGTCGTGTTTCCCCATTGAACCCAGCAGCCTGGGATTTTGTTTACCATACAAATCTTACGTAGCCAAATCTGAAACCTTACACCACAGAGAGCTGGAACGTCTGCACGCCGTCGCCGTGGCTCACGACCTGAGGCTCGAAGTACTGGAGAAGGCCATGCTGACCGCGGCGGAAGGCCACGCCGAGATTCAGGCCGATGCTGTGGACAACAAGTCCCAGCTGGTCAGCGGCGAACAGGTCCTTGGTGGGGAACAGACCTTCGTCCCTGCTGGGAATAGCTCGAATCTTATAGAACTGGTTTGTCTTTTTAATTTTTAAACATTTGTGTAATATAAGTAGGTCAGTAGGTCATTCATAATATAATATGTATATATATATATATGTATATATATATATATATATATATATATATATAATGGGATGGTCATCAAATGACATTTATCTTAGTTTTTTCTGTGTTGTTGTCATTTTTTTACATGCATGATTGCTATATTTGTTTTGTCTCCTATGTAATGTCGATTTATGTTTTCGTATCCTATGGAAGGTCGATTTATGACTGACGTTCATATTTTACAATTGTGACGTTTCTTGTACAGAAACCGTATTGCACTAACTTCATACCTCCTTCAAACCTACTCTTTAACCCCCCCCCCCCCCAAAAAAAACAACAACTTAACCTATTCTCTTGCCATGACCCCCTTCCTCTCTCCGCGCCCCCACCACAGGTTGTGCCCCTGGAAGGTAGCGGAGAAGGGGAGACGTCACCTGCAGGAACCTCCACTTCTCGGTCCCCTGGGGTGACGCCGTGGAGAGTTCCAGAATACTACGAGCTGTTCAGACACCTGAGCACATTAGAACAAAAGGTAACAGCTGCAATCCTTTCACATTGCCAACCAAATCAAAAAGAAACATACGCAAGGTAGAGGAAATCCTAAATAAATAGAAATATATACAAGGCAGGGCACTACAACAAAGTGTGGACCTTTCGGCCAAAAAATCTTTCGACGGAAAAAAAATAGTTAAACACACTTTTCCTCTACCTTTTGTATATTTCTTAATACTTCAACCAGAACGCAGTGCTCCCCCTTATTTCTCTTACATCACTAAACGCAACGCTACGACGCCGCCAAGACCTCCCTGAAACTACGTTCTTCTAACACCATTACGCCCTCATCGGTCACCAAACACCATCTTACATCACCATGCCCAATGGTGCAACACCTTGCACTGCTTCACACATCTTTCATTCCTGTTCTAGATCATTACCTCGCCTCGCCAAGGTGGGCGTCGAGTAGGGAGTGGGTGGTCAACACCTTGCACTGCTTCACACATCTTTCATTCCTGTTCTAGATCATTACCTCGCCTCGCCAAGGTGGGCGTCGAGTAGGGAGTGGGTGGGGGGGGGGGGGGGGGAGGGGGGTCCAGATATTCCAGTGACACTGCCGAACATAAACCAGCTAGGAAATCTGACGTGATATCCCGGAAATCTTGGATATAAACAATTTTTTTTTTTTTAAAGACTTAAATTTACCGGAAAGCTTTTAAACCTAATGTTTAAAAAGAAAAAAAAATGAACCAACACATAGAAACCAAGTTTTTCTTGTAAATCATTTACATGCATTCTTTTTATTAACATATTAACATTCCAATGTACCGCGGTGCTTTGACATCGAATATTCATTTCACCAACTATCTCTGAAATACAAAATAAAAATATTACACACAAAACGCACTTCCGGTATGTTGTCGTTTTTTTAAAATTAAAAATCTCATTAAGCGAAATTTGGGGGGAATTATATTTCATGAACTTGGTGTCATCATATTTCATGAACTTGGTGTCATCATATTTCATGAACATGGTGTCATCATATTTCATGAACTTGGTGTCATCATATTTCATGAACTTGGTGTCATCATATTTCATGAACTTGGTATCATCATATTTCATTAACTTTGTGTCATCATTTTCATGAACTTGGTGTCATCATATTTCATGAACTTGGTGTCATCATATTTCATGACCTTGGTGTCATCATATTTCATGAACTTGGTGTCATCATATTTCATTCATATTCCCAACGAAAAGTATGTAAAACAGATTTTTGGAGGGGTTGGGTCTGGGTGGTGGGACGGAACATTTGAGAGAATGTGTTGCCATCAGCTTGGAGTCCATGTGCAAAGTTTCAGCTCGATGCGTTGACGGGGAAACGGGTCTATTTGCCGTCCGAAGATTTTTTGCCTTAATCACACACAAATAAATACATAAGATTTGCAGGCTAGAAATGAGTGCCGTGTACAAAAAAAATATAAAAAAATTAATGTATTGTACGCTTTCTTTCCTTGTAAATTGAATTTGTTTATTTCATTGAAACGTTTTGTCCCGCGGTCAGTGTGGGCCGTTCACGGGTAATTAATAATTGACTGCTCTTGAAATGGGAGACCTTGACAGGAAAGGTCGGCTGAGAGCGATTAGTGTGCGACGTTGTTGTCGTCATGTAACGTTTTTGTCAAACGTTCCACGTTTCAGGTCTTAACCCTGGAAAACTACAACATCATGAGCGATTCTGAGCTAACACGTGTCAGGTCAGAGGTCATCAAGATGGACGACAAGGTCAGTGACATTTAGTTACATCCCAACGAAACCGCAATTCTGAACTGCTTTAATTTTATTTTATTTTTTCCTAATTAGCAAAAAGGATCATTCGTGTCGGCCCCAGTGGATTGATTCCCTTTGGTTTGTCCTAGTAAACGTGGTCCTTCCAAAATCTTGACGAAATGAGATCAAGCATCCATTATTTTAGGTGACAGAGCTGGACAGGAGGAACCGGAACCTGCAGATACGGATGTCCATGCACGCGGTGAAAATCTCGGAGATGGAAATGTTCAAGAACAAGGCGGAGATGACGTTGCAGACATCACAGGAAGCGTACGGGAGAGTCAACAACAGGCTGGACGCGTTCAAGGTGGGCCTCACGAGCTGGAGGTTTGGCGAGATAGTGGAGGGGGGTGGGTGGAGGTATGGAAGTATGGAGATGGGTAGTGTTGGGGAGATGACGGGGGTTGATGGAGACAAAGTTAAGAAGGGAAGAGATGGATGGGGGGTGAGAAGAGGACAGAGGTGGATGAAGAGAAAGATACCTTTTCCCAATTAAATGGAGGGGTGGGTAAGGACTGACACGGCAGAGTTTTTCGGTGACGTCAATATCAAGGCCATACTAGGGGAGACATCTGGTGATGACTAAACACAGCTCTAACTTTAAGTGGCCTAGACATAGATTATATTTTAACAAACTTATTTTGGAAATAATAAAAATAAAACCTTTTTATAACGTAGATCATGGGTCGTGAAACCAAGATGAGCAAAATACAATGTTCAACGATAACTTAGTCTAAACCTAAATTAGTGGTTTTCACATCTATGTACAAATCTACGTTCACATCTATGTACACATCTATCTTTTCACTACAAAAGAAAAACTTGTATATTGACCGCGTAATCAAAATATGCCGTGACGTAGTTCACGAACTGCCCGAAAGGCATGGCGTGCACTGTGCACTGTGCACCGAGGCTAAGGCTAGTGTCCATCTTAACAGGAGCGGCTGGCCGGGCTGAAGACAGACCTACGTGGCATCACCTCGCAGTTTACACGCCACGACCAGATTTCTAGCGAGCTCCGGGCAGCAGATGCATACAAGGCGCACGACATTCAGGTAGGCTGATGGGGGCAGTTTTTCTTTCAGAAAATTTCCCCGGGAGGGGGGGTCACTTCAAATTTTCGGGGGGGGGGGGCCACTTCAGTTTTTTCTCAGTGCCAGCAGTTCCAGTTGATATATTGTTGGACATATTTTTGCTCCGGGGGTGGGCACTTGGCTTTCCCCAGGGGACACTAACCCCCCACCCCCCGGAGATATAGCTGAAAGAAATCCTGGATGGGGGGCATACAGCCAAATTGACAAACTGATTACATGTGCATTAGACACATGCTAGTGTAGACCAATAGGACATACTATTGTAAGTCAATGGGACATTCAGGTAGGCTGATAGGGGAGGGGGGGCATCCAGGAGGATGGGAAACGCATTACAAATGAATACACCCGCATGATACACTTGTGTACACTTACATGGCATACATGTGTATCAGACACGTCTTGCTAGTTTACACCACTAGGACAAACTTTTTGTAAGTTAACACGGCATGCTAGTGTTAAGTCAACCGGATATGCTAGTGCAGCGGTTCTCAACCTGAAGGTCGCACGACCCTTTTCCAGGGGTCGCCTAAGACCAACTGAAAACACAGACGCTCTACAATTAAAAAGGAGAAGCGAAAATTTTTTGTGGCGGGGGTCGCCACAACAGGGTGAGCTCTATTAAAGGGTCGCGGCATTAGGAAGGTTGAGAACCACTGTGCTAGCGTAAGTCAAAATGACATGCAAGTGTAACTTAACACAACATACTAGTGTAAGTCAACACGATCAATTAGTCCACGTCAACACGACATACTAGCATACGGCAGCACGACAATCCCATTACCACAGCGAACCAACCAGGTTGACATGTCATTTTCAACCCCCGCTTCCCCACCCCCCACCCCACGGTCTTGTTCCAGGAGATGAGAAAGAACATATTTGGCATCGAAGGCCGTCTGAACAACTTGTACTCCACCTTTGATAAGAACGTCCAGTTGGTCAGGAGTGACGTCAGGGGCATAATGGAGAGGCTGTGCTCTAAAAATAAATTGTCGTGTTGACCAATCAGAATAGGAGATCATCGAATGACGATGTTGGTAATGTGTTAGATACGTAGAAAAACAAATTGTCGTTATTGTATCTCTCGCTCTGTTAAATGACCAAAATGTATTAAAAAGTTGGGTGGGGGTGGGGGGAAGGGCATATGTTCTGAGATTTATGTTTAAAACCTAAAGATATTTATTTGCCATTTATAGTTTTACCTTAAAAGCGTCAGCTGTGCACTGTGGTACAGTGCTCTGGTACTGTGGTACAGTGCTCTGGTACTCGTGGTACAGTGCTCTGGTACTGTGGGGCAGTGCGGTGCTCTGGTACTCGTGGTACAGTGCTCTGGTACTGTGGGGCAGTGCGGTGCTCTGGTACTCGTGGTACAGTGCTCTGGTACTGTGGGGCAGTGCTAGCCCAGTCTCTTAATTTGGCCGACCATCTCTACCCTTTTCACCGATCCCCCCCCCCCACTTTTATTTCAATTTAATTATCTCCTTTATGTCAAACATCTTGTTCACCTTTGGTCTCCTAGTCTAAATTCGTTCAAGATGAACGTCGCTATGTGTATCAACTCCTTCATCGATGTATTGTTAGTTAACGTGCAATATATAGTTTAGTAGGATAACAGTTTAAAGAAATCAAACAATTGATCGATCCACTGATTGAAATATTGAGAACATTTGAAATCGGTCAACCAGATGTTCCTGGACACCCCCCAAACCCCCCCCCCCCCAAACTAAAACATTAGGTGCCCGCTGACTTTTGGAAAATCCTTCTCATGGATGGCATTGGCAAGGATCAAAATCTACCCTAAAATAGTTGGTGTAAATATCACTGAATATTTCTCAGGTTGAAAAGCTCGTTGAAAAGAGATAATTGAGGGGAGGGGGGGGGGGGAGACAAATATGACCACTTAGGAGTGGGGTGGGCGGCAACACAGCTAAAATTACTTAGGGGTGGGGCTACTAGAGAACATTTGAGAATACTTCAAGTAGTTTGACAGATTTTTTTTTTAAAAATGTACAAAAGTTAATTTTGAGCCACGTGAAATTTTAATAAAAACAAATTTGAAAACATGATTTATGAGATTTTTATTTTTTTTTTGCTTTGTCAGACTCTGTGTTTTAATTCCTCTTTCTTGAGTTTCTTCATCTGTCTCGTAAGCTGCCTTTAGCCGGGTTGTCACGTGATATATGTATTGGCAAGATTGGAGCTGAGTTTGATGTTTGTTTTTTTTATTTTTTTTTTTTGTTTGTAGGTGTGTTATGTGGATTTTTTTTAAAGTCATTAAATCCTATAAAAGGGAAAGCTAATTAATCATTAACAGGGGAGATAACTCTTTAAAGCTTAATACATTTTAATCTGCAGAGTTGTATCTCATTGTCCTTCATCGTAACCATTTTCCTTTTTTTTATGTACTAGTTATTTTATTTAATTTTTTTTTTATTTGAATTACAATGTTTCTTTAAAAACATTAAAATATTGTTATTAACAAACAAACACACAATACATCCTTAAAATAATTTTTTATAAACATCTGGAAAAAAAATCCTTAAGCGCTAAAAAAAAAAAAGAAATAATCATAATTGTTTTGTAATGAGTGGATCCTAGCACCGAGGCACAATGTTTGATTTATTTCATGAAGAATTAACATACACTAAGTTAGCCGACCGTTGATTGCTCAGTTGGGACAGCTTGATTAATTTTGCTCTGATGTCTAAACATTTAGTCTTGACCCACCGCTGTAGTAATTTTAGATGAGCGCCACGTGATTTAGTCGCACTTGATCAACACATTGACGACAACTGTCAAAAAAAATAATAAAAAGGGGCCAACAAATTAACGCAATTTAACGTAACCCTTGAACTTTAAAAAAAAAAAGAAGTTAAAAAAAAACCACATTAATCTTTTTGTGTGTCCAATCCATGTATTTACTGAACATGGATTTGTTAGGGCTGCATGTTGTGATTTCGTGTCTGCGTTTGCAGCTTTAAAAAGAAAGGTTATGGTACAAGAGAACTGCTGCCATGGTCACTCATTAGTTGCATACGAGAATGTCTTCGGGCCCGGGTTCAGTGGGACCTCCTTGTGACCTCGTGGGTGAGCCTGATGCTGGCTCTCGGTGTTGGCCGGGTCTTGCTTCGTGACCTCGTGATTGATACTTCTGGCTTTCCCGTTCGACTGTCCAGGTTTTGTGACCTGCCGGCGTGAGCCTGCCGGCTTTCGAGGTTAACTGAGTCTAGCCAAGTGACCTCACAAGTGAGCCTGCCGGCTTTCGAGGTTGACTGAGTCTAGCCTAGTGACCTCACGAGTGAGCCTGCTGGGTTTCAGAGTCGACCGAGTCCAACTAAAGCTGAATATAGGGAAGTGATGAAATGATATTCTTGCGCCAATAGACAAAGTAGGGCGTTGTCGCCGACAGTACGCGTGTTGAAGATGTCGGAATAAAGATTTTTTAAATGGGTTTAAATAATTTACGTTCATGTGGTGTTCTCGTCAGTTGAACTAGATTTGCAATTGGAGTAATCCTAGATTACTCAAGGATATTGACGTAAGACTAGGTCTTCGTGACCCATTACTTATTTGTTTACCCACTGACCACAAGCACTTCAGCAGTATGACTTCAGCAGTATGACTTCAGCAGTATGACTTCAGCAGTATGACTTCAGCAGTATGACTTCAGCAGTATGACTTCAGCAGTATGACTTCAGCAGTATGACTTCAGCAGTATGACTTCAGCAGTATGACTTCAGCAGTATGACTTCAGCAGTATGACTTCAGCAGTATGACTTCAGCAGTATGACTTCAGCAGTATGACTTCAGCAGTATGACTTCAGCAGTATGACTTCAGCAGTATGACTTCAGCAGTATGACTTCAGCAGTATGACTTCAGCAGTATGACTTCAGCAGTATGACTTCAGCAGTATGAACTCGTTGTAAAGAGATAACATTTTTTTTTTAATTTCCTAACACAGCGTTTATAACATTCATGGGCGGATCACGCCAGTATTCATGGGCGGATCACGCCAGCCTTCATGGGTAGATTACGCCGGACTTCACGGGTGGGTCGCGTCAGCATTCGTGGGAGGATCACGCCAGTAGTAAAGGGTAAAAGTTTGCTTGCCCAGAAACCGTGTGGGAATCAAATGGAATTAAGCCGTGTTAACACAGCAGGCAGTGTTGGGTTAAACCAGAGGGACAGCAGGCAGTTTTGGGTTAAACCAGAGGGACAGCTGGCAGTTTTGAGTTAAACCAGAGGGACAGCAGGCAGTTAGGGGTTAAACCAGAGGGACAGCAGGCAGTCTTGGGTTAAACCAGAGGGACAGCAGGCAGTATTGGGTTAAACCAGAGGGACAGCAGGCAGTTTAAGGTTAAACCAGAGGGACAGCAGGCAGTTAGGGGTTAAACCAGAGGGACAGCAGGCAGTATTGGGTTAAACCAGAGGGAGATTACAGCTAAAAGAATTGCAAACTTTCTCATTAAAACTGAAAGACCATGGTGTTTTAAAAGAGAAGCCGAGCTATGACAGTTGGTCAGCAAGAACACAGAACAGAATCTGCTCATTCCTGCCAAAGACAATCAGGGACCGGAACGAGCATCCAAAAGGAACAGTTGAGGCGACAACCCTTGACACATTTGCGTCTATTACCCTTAGGCCTTCGAGTCCCCCCCCCCCCCCCCCC